ACAGGATTGACAGAATTGAGTTTTGTGTTCACAGAATTGAGTTTTGTGAGACAGAATTGAGTTTTGTGAGACAGAATTGAGTTTTGTTAGACAAAATTGAGCCCTGTCCTGCATGGCGCCCCGTACCAGCACCGGTTTATAATGAATTTTATACCTACATACAACGATCCTTCAGTACTGTGTAAATGCGTAATGATTATATTTGAACTTGCATTGAACTGGTCAAGTTGCTCTTTGGGTCCAACGCCAGACAAGAGGAGGATGTGAGGAGAGCCGATAGTTCCAGCAGAGAGGATCACTTCCCGAGACGCTCTCGCTTGTTTCTTTTCGGCACCATGTATAAACTGCAAGCCTACCGCCCTCTTGCCCTCAAACATTACCTAATCAAAGAATAAATACTTTAAATATAAAAATTATCTCTCCGGGTATCGCATGGAGATCTTTCGATTAGATGTGATGAATTGAGTAAACGCGCACAACATGCACATATCTGTTTACATAAAGTTGCAATAGCTTATTACAATGAATAATAATATTTAAATACAGTTTGACTTTGCGTGGTTTATTTGAAATAAGTCGCCGGATCTATTTCTTGTAATGTCGAAATATTATTACATTGGTCACGTGGGCTTGAGTTATGACGTGTAGATTTGGCCTGCTTACGACAGGCTGCAGGTAGACTTTGGCGGTGTGTGCGCGGGTGCCATCTCTGATGTTTGCCTGTGTTTTCATAACTCCTACAAAATCACTGGTTATGTAAGGGGATAATAAAAATAGCTCTGAGCGTTATTTATGAAATATCTAATTTGTTCATAATAAAAAATATTGATGCCAAATTGAATGAAAACGCTCATGTATATTACCATAAGGGTTTTCTCCATTCAAATCACCAACTCTATATCCTAATTCCTGCGCCGCATCTAGAAACAAATCCCCAATTTCTGTGTAGGTGGATTGTATGATAGTGAGAGGACCTCCGACACCATGGTAGTCTGCAAAATGATTGGATGATATTTATTAGTAATTACGAAGGCTTTATTGTTGCCGCCTGCTTCATCAGACTTAAACTCTAATCCACATACGAGTATTCACTATAGGTGTTCACTGCAAAAAAATACACGTACTGGAGTTCTTGAGTTCAGGTATCTGCATATCTTCGGATTTCTTGAAATAAGGAAGTACGTCGTTGTAACTCCATCCCGTTGCTCCCATCATCTCCCATTTGTTGTAGTCTTCGGGTGAGCCACGTATATGCAACATAACGTTTATTGCGCTGCTGCCTCCAAGTACCTTTCCTCTTGGCCACAGGCTTTCCTAGATTTAAAATTTTACAATATGCACAGTAATACTTAAATGTAATATCATAGCGCAGGCGATAATGGTGCCCGATAAATGATTAGAAGTCGGGCGTTATTTTTCTCTGGTGTCATTTTGTCAGTGCTGTTTTGATTCTGATTCATGCTACATTATATGTCGTGGCAATCAATATACCACAACCTAGATGACTATATGGTACGTATTGCATAGTACACATCGAATCTACCTTGTTCTCACAGGCCTGACAAGAGAACTTCTGCGGTACTGTCCTATAGCTCCAATCAACCTTCGTTTTTCTCAGAAACGGATGTAAAGCTGGTATATCTATGTCCTTGTTACCCTCAGGCACCCCACCGGCTTCTACCAGCAGTACTTTCACATCAGGGTCATCAGATAGACGGTTAGCGAGCACACATCCTGCTGTCCCTCCTCCCCCTATCAAGGTATAAAAGCAACTAAACTAGAATACGTGTAATTATATTATCAATTTATCTATCAATCTATCTATCTATCTATCTATCTATCTATCTATAAATCTATCTATAAATCTATCTATAAATCTATCTATAAATCTATCTATAAATCTATCTATAAATCTATCTATAAATCTATCTATAAATCTATCTATTCTCTTCATTCCCTTACACCTACCGATCCACTTCAATGTCGTTAAAATGATGATGAAACCAAACATGGTCAAGTCTGCGTTACTCCACGTGGGGACCCAGTCACACATTTCCTTGGACTCTCAACCAGTCCGAACCACATCAGGTGGGTTGTACTGCACCAATAATTATAATCGTCAGAACATCGTCAGGATCCGCCTACGCTGTATGTGACCTCCCCGGCCGCTTCTCGTGTACAGCCACTGCCTGCAACACAGCCACAACGAGGGCGAAGCAGCACGCTTGTCAAACCATGCGTACGTTCGAGCGGTATACACATGAGGAAACGCACCGAAAAGCTCTTCCTAAACAGCCTCTAGCAAGAATGGTCAATACGCGCGTAGAGCTGGGTTATAAAGACCCCTTAAATAATTGCAAGAGTCACAACCCAGAAAAGCCTAGTAAAACGTGTGTCAGCATCGACTATGAAGTTAAACGAGAAGTAATTGTTATAAAGAATTTTCATGCGCGCGCACATATTAACACAGAACGTAGGCGTTTGCGCTGATGTATTTTCAGATTAATTATTTCGATCCCTTGCTTGTCATAGCAGATGACAGCGTAGACCGAGCTCTGCCGTCCCAACGTCATACATTCATTATTCTGTCTATTCACGAGTAGTGTTGATAGCATGTTGTCCCTTTACCGCGATTGATAATATGTGAGTTCATCCCATCTCATGTCGGCCAGCGGTGACATGCAACGATATATAGCTCATCAGCCATCACCAATGATTTCGTATAGCATTTCTATCTGCATCTATCTCCACTTGTACCGCTGTGAATGAATTTTGGCTAATCGCTGTCGCTAAGTCGCGAGTCAGCGCCGTAATCGCTTGTGCAGATTCGAAATTGCATCGCTGACACCCAGACATTCGCAACCAGCAGACTACCAAATTGTTCGACTAACTGGAGCCGGGTACTGTCGCACTAATATCGCGTGTCAAATACTCACTCGTTCATCTCCAAAGCAATTCCATTTCTAACCATGCAGAAAGCACCAGCACGCACGCCGGCACACACACACTCATCATCATTTCTACACATTCTATCAACGCACACCTCACCTATACACTACACATCGTACGACATCAGCACTACACTCACTATACTACACACTTTATACACCACTACTATCATATCTCTCACAGCACTACACACACTTATCACCACATCATTCCGACACTCTATTTACTACTATCTACACTACTACTTCTATACTCATCTTTATTATATATTATATTTTTTTTTTTTTACTTATATTATTATTATTTTTAATAGTTATTCGTTTAATTCTAGTGCAATGGATTGTCTTTCTTTAACTAATTGAGGTTCAGATCGTGTTCGTCGGTCTTTGAAGTTTCTTAAATACATTTCCTATTATCCTTTTGCTGCACATTGTGTGTATCCATGTAATTCTTTATCATCGTGTTCTTGCACGTTATGGTCTTCGCTTATGGTCGGCTGTGTTTCTAATGATAACTTTCAGCAAGCGTGCGTTCGTGTGCGCGTTCCTTTCTGATCGGTCTAATTTCTTTGTCATGTTTCCTTCCTATTTAAACCTCTAATCAAAACCGTCGTAAAGCTAAGATCAGATTGATAAATCCAACAGATATATAGTATACTCAGTTGAATATCTATATCTGTATGATTATTGTATTTATATTTAAATATCCCACTAAAATAACCAAGCTTATTCTATTATCTCGTAATCAATCAATTATATTAATTATACTATCCATTTAGGGTTTCGTTTCTCCATTACATCACCAATCTCTTATTATTCCTGATTCTTTCGCTCTGTCTGTCGCTACGAACCAATCTTTAGTCCCAAATCGCGTGGAGGTATCTTATCTGCCCTCCTC